CCCCAAAACCCCAAAACCCCAAAACCCCAAAACCCCAAAACCCCGATTAAAAGATTGTAGGTGAAATATTAATAATAAATATAAAAGAGTGTTATGGAGAAAATAGAAGAAGGACCAGCAGAGATTTTAGAACCAACAGACCCTGCAAAGCTATGTATGATGTGTAAAGAAAAAGAATTTAAATATAAATGACCCAATTGCAGCAGCAAGACTTGCTCTCTGATCTGTGTTAAGCAGCATAAGAAGGAGCTCAAATGTGCAGGAATTCCCAAGCCAAGCAAATTCGTGTCAAAAGAGACTTACAATGTAAATAATTTATGTAAAGACATTACTTTTATTCAAAATGGACTTACCATTGTGAACCAGTCAAGGAAAGAACTCTCAGAAGCTAATTCAATGAACAGGATTGATAAGAAATGGAAATTCTTAAGGTATTTCTGTAGAAAACACAGAAATATTGGGCTAAAATTAGCTCCAAGCGTGTTTATGAGGCATCAAAATAACAAAACTTATTATAGCCAGAATGATAAAACTATTTTCTGGACACTTGAGTTTAGGATCATCCTCAAATCTGGAGGAAAGTACGAGAAGCCTCGGATTATCAGACTTTCAAAGTGTGTAAATGAAAAATTTTTGATTAAAAACATTCTAAATGATTTTTGTACTGACAAAACACAGTATTACGAAGAGCATCATTTGTTCATGAATGATATAAAGCCAAAGCTTGAAGATCCATCTAAGATACAGCTGTATTTAGAAAGAACCAAACCTGAAGAATTTAAGCACCTAATTACTCCAAAGCAACCTGGAAATCCAGACCAAGTGCAGGTTGGAGAAATTCCTGTGCGCCCAGTCGTAGCAGCTTCATTGACTCCTTTTGGCCCAAGCGATGTAGCTCTGACTAGTGTAAACAAAACTTTATCCTTGAAGGAAATCCTTGACGGTACTGTGGTACTCGAGCATCCTACCCTATACATGGTAATATAGTTTCTTCAATATTTTGAGCATCTTGGGGTTTTGGGGTTTTGGGGTTTTGGGGTTTTGGGGTTTTGGGGTTTTGGGG